ATATAATATATATAATAATATATAATTTTTCAAAAGAACAAGCATTCAATAACAAGTCTTTTAAGGCAGGTAAGAAAAAATAACTTTTGGATGTAAAAACTTAAAATTTCTTAACATTTCTTAATGGTACCATCATGGTCTGTCCTGTGCAGAATGACAAAATACTAAATTATTTCTTTACTTAAACCTCTGTAACTTTGCTCCAGTTCATTTTAGCAGCATGAATCTTTGCACAGTTTATGTCCACAAGTGGTTTAATGATTTTCAAGAGTTATTAGCCTGATTCATTATGGTTTTAAATAGGTTATATACTGTCTAATGAAAACATTAGATGTGTGGTACCTACAGAAATGTCACAAGTTTGGCTAATCTGGTAAAACACGTTTCTATGAACATCCAAAACAGTTAATATGATAAACATCTGAAGATAACACTATGAAATTGAAAATAAAATTGGTTGGAAAGTCAGAGATGTTAAAATAATATTTCTGTTAAAATAGGAGTGTGCCTTTTTTATATTTTTTTATTGTCACTACTTTAATTATGTAGGGTTCTGTGTGTTGTATTCATGATTAAATGCAGCAAAAGACACTAATTTAAAGGTAACAGATCTTTGTAATACTTGGCTTATTTACATAATGACTAATTGCTGGATGTTTGGCCCTGTGAGTCCATCTGTCTGAGAGCTGAAGTTTGGACCAAACTGGGTCCAACAGAACCACAATCCCAAACACATCAGCTGATCTACAACCGACTGGATCAAAACAATAAGAACCATGGTCCAGTCAGAGTCCAGAACCTGAACCTGACTGAAACACTTTGGTGGGACCTTCAGAGAGCAGAAACCTTAAAAAAACTGAAGCAACAATGGAAAGAAGTGTGGACCAAATCTCCTCCACAAGCATGAGAGACTGAAACAGAAAACCCTCTGAATCCCACTGCTAAAGGAGGTTATAGAATCTGCAGGACCAGGGTCTGGACCCAGTTTTTGTTTGATAAATGACTCAGTAGAATCTGTTGTCTTTGTTCAGTTCAGGTTTGATTTGGTTTGATACTTTTAAACCCTGATCAGTTTGATCGTGCCTCAGTATGTAAAGCTCAAGCTGAAGGGTGGTGGACTTTTTCCATATTTGTTTCTATAATTAGTCCAATAAAATAATATATAAAAAATTTTAAAGATCACTACAACTACAGCTCATGTCTCTGGGTTTTAGATTCCACATCATCTAGAATGTTCACGTTTTCACTTCCTGTCTTCCTCTGTCTGCAGGTCGAGAGAAGAGAAAGGATCCCATGATCTCTGCCGGTGATGCCGAGTTCCCGCGGGATTTCCACACGCTGGCCGCCGGCGGGGGCCGAGGGGCCCGGCACTTCCAGAACAGCAGCAACGGCGGCTTCATGTCGTCCTCGCTGGACCGCCGGCACAACTCTGTGGCGGCTAAAAGCCTGGAGGCCCTGAACAGCATCCACAAGGCGGACATCGAGCGACAGCGGGACGCCCTGATGGACCTGCAGAAGAACAAATACTCCAACAGTCCTGGCAGCATGTCTCAAGGCTCCACTGCAGGCGGACGACAGGTACTGGAACACAAACTGAATAATGTTCCTGCAAACAAAACATTTTACATTTATCTATTTAAACCTCCGTATAAACACATTCAGCAGATTTTTCATGCTCTACAAAAAAAAAATTCTTTCAAAACTGTGTTTTCTGGGTTTATCTGCAGTTGATGCAACCTGTTTATTTTTTAATTTCTGAATATTTGGTTTAATACCTGCTATGGAGAAATTTTACAGATACTCCTTTATAAAAACAGTCAACATACACAAAATAAATCATAAGACTACTAGGAAAAATACAAGTCATGTTAATGTTTTAGATTTAAAAAGAAATCTACCGGTAACTAGTTTAATTGTGGCTATTACTTTGATTTGTACTTGTCGTAGTAAACTACTTTAAGCAAGTCATATCTTTTAAAATTAGTTTCTAACTGTCCAAATGCATAATTTAAACCAAAATCAGAAAATGTACAACAGTGAGGTTTTCTTTTTAATCTACAGAAAAACTGTTTATTACATAGGTGGTCCATGTTTGTACCCCTGTAGATACCCTGTTTGTACCCCTTCAGATACCCTGTTTGTACCCTTGTACGTACCCAGTTAGTACCCCTGTAGATACCCTCTTTGTACATCATTAGCTACCCTGTTTTTACCCCTGTAGGTATCCTGTTTCTACCCCTGTGGTTACCCTATTTGTACATCATTAGGTACCCTGTTTTTACCCCTGTAGGTCTCCAGTTAGTACCCCTTTTGGTGCCCAGTTAGTACTCCTGTAGGTGTCCAGTTAGTACCCCTATTTGTACCCGGTTTTGTACCCTGTTTGTACCCCTATGGGTATCCTGTTTGTACCACTGTAGGTGCCCAGTTGGTACTCCTGTAGGTGCCGGGATAGTATCCCTTTTGGTGCCCAGTTAGTACCTCTTTACTGTAGGTGCCCAGTTAGTACCTCTTTACTGTAGGTGCCCAGTTAGTACCTCTTTACTGTAGGTGCCCAGTT